TTAGAATGTACTGAAATGTAAAGTGACTTAGTTTTTTTCAAAATGATGTTATTATTAATTTACTATGACTTCATGAAATTTGTGATATATCGATTCAACGTAAAAGCGTTTCCATTATTGAATTTTGCAGCTTTACACTTATTGCCAGTTATTTGTTCATGCAAATTTATATAATTTTCTGCATTTTCTTTACATTTGTATTCCAATTAATCTAAACTGGTATGTTAATGGCAGAGCAGTTTTGAAAAAATTGAAGTTCCAATTATTCTAACACCTAAACTTTAGCTTTTACATTTATACCGCCCAAATCTTTCATATCACATCAAAATTACCATCATTTCAACTTTTTAAACATTGGAATACACTTTTTTATGCAGATGTAAGGTGGCATATATGTAAAAATTAAAGTTCGGATGTTGGATATGTAAATACATAAGAATTGGGTGGTATGCATGTGAGTTTTCCTAAATTATATAAGCCTTTTGTTGCTGGTTGAATCATTGGCTTTGATATCAATTGTTAGGAGGTGAACTTGAGCCAATTATATATATGTGAACCCTCAAATGAAAGTTTTTGATATCAATTATCATGCAACAAGAGCCTATCCAACCATGTGGAGGCATTATAGATATCATTATATCTAAATTACTATATAACCTAAATTATTTATAATAAGAATCTATATTATTTCTTATTATAATATATTTTTTATTATTGAGGATATTTTTATTATATTATTTTATATTGCTTTTCTTAAGTTCGTTGGTTTCATCATATCTAAATTACTATATGACCTAAATTATTTATAATAAGATTCTTTTCATTTCTTATTATAATATTTTTTTTATTATTGAGAATATATTTATTATATTATGTTATATTGCTTTAATCTCTTGGCTATGTATAGCCTTATATAAGCTTGTACTATAACCTCAAAAAAGTTAGTCCTATAACTCTCTCGTTTTTAACCTGCATGATCTTTGAACCATGAACTAAACTTTAATTATACATCAAATTCACATTTATTTGTAATAAGTTCCCCCCTTGATTCAACATTTACCTTAGGAAGAACTTGATCAATCTAATCATAACCATCAGTTAAAGACATGGAGCTACTAACATTCATGATATATCATAATAGCAACACTAAAGAGATGAGGACTTTTATCACATAATATAATTCCTTACACTCAATCACTAATAAATACAAAACCATGAACTTCTAGCACCTACTATATAAAAAAATGTTTTACATCATGGTTTCAAAATAGGATATTTTCATCATCTTTGTCAACAAAAATATGTTTTACATCATGGTTTCAAAATAGGATATTTTCATCATCTTTGTAAACATAAATATAAACACAAGTCAGATCAAATCATCTCCTGCTCTTCACGGACACACCACACAAACGTGTGTGTGTGTGTGTAGCTTAGTATGTCAATGAAACCTAATTCTTCACAGACACACTACACACACACACAAACACACACGTGTGTGTGTGTAGCTTAGTATGTCAATGAAACCTATCAATTTTAACTAAAGAATGAAACTAATATATCTGTGAAAGGGTTGGTGCATCTCCAGTGACAGATTAGAGAGGTCATCTTAAATGGTTTGGTCACATTAAACATCGACCGCCTGATGATCCGGTTAGGAGAGTAGATGTTTTGGGTTCGACTTATGTTGTCAATTTTAACGAAAGATTAAAACAAATATATCCGTGAAAGGGTTAGTGTAGCTCCAGATAGTCATCCTAGACAAATTGGAAATAGTCATCCTAGACGGTTTGGTCACATTAAACATTGACCATCTGATCATCCGTTTTGGAGAGTAGATGTTAAGAAAGGTAGCGGTAGGCCTAAAAGATAGAGGCAGGAGACCAGGTCATGTTATATAAAAAATGATCTTAAATTATTAGAATTAAATGAAAATATGACGCTCAATATGACACAATGGAGAAAAAAGATTCATGGAGAAAAAAGATTCATGTTAGCCGACCCCACTCAGTTGGATAAAGACTTATTATTGTTGTTATTGTATTAAAAATATATACATATATAAAATCATCATTATGGCTCATAAGTCCTCTCAAATAAGCAAAAAATTAATGTCTCCTCTTCAATATCTCATTAACTCAACACCTAGTTTTAATTCAATTATGTTTATCATTTTCATTTCCTTTTTCATTTCACTTACTCTCTTTTAGCTAATCCCACCCAAACAAGTCCTAAAAAGAATTTAAATGATACTGGCAAAGTTCATTGTTTAAGCACTATGTAGTACATTTACAGATCTATATACTCAATTTTATTCTTACTCTCACTTTAACAAAATGAATTGCAATCTGCATTTGTAAAAATCTCAATACTATATGCTGAATAGAGAACCCAAAGAAACATTTCGACAGACATGTTGCATGCACAGAAAAAATAAAGAAAAAATAACACTCAACCTACAGCATGTAGAGAAGAACAATGAGATGCCAAAATACCATTGCCGTCTACTTAAACTCTTCAACTCCATCTCCTCTCATGAGCTCATCCATGGTTTCCTCATTCATCCTCGCAGCAGCCTCCTCCATGACCTCCACCATCTTTTCCACCTCTCTGCTCATCCTCTCCTGCTCCTTCAACACCTTCTCCAACTTCTTCCTATGTTCTTTCATGGAGGAGACTCCAAACTCCAGGAATATCTCTTCATACTGTTTCCCCTTTCTCCTCTGCACCATCTTCTTCGGCGAGCACCCAAAGCAGCACATCACACGCGTAGGCGAAGGAGACCTTCTCTCCACCGAAGTTGATGTTCGTAACTCCTTCAAATCCTTTAATCTCTCTGGTTTCGGACTTGCGATTGAGATAACCTCTGGTTTGGATTCATCTGATTCGTTCAAGTTCTCGGGTTGGATTGAAGAAGAGGGCATGTTCTCCTTCTCCTGAAGGGAAGAATGGGAAGGAAGCTTTGAGGGGAGATTGGATCCGGGGAAAGTTTTGAGCTTTCTGAAGCGGGATTCGAGGTCGGTGGAAAGGGTGAAGTCGGAGAGATGGGCGGTGTTGAGGGCGGCGATCTGTTCGAGAATGCAGAGATCTGTGGCTTCGGAGATGATGAGGTCGATGTCGGAATCGTTGGGAGAAGGGAGGTGGGGGGAATAGGAAGAAGCCATGGGAATGCAGAGCTGAGAAGCTCGGAGTTTTCAGAGTTTGATTGCTTTGTGGCGATTAATGTAGGAAACTAACGGTTATATCCACAATTTGGAATTGTGTGCGA